TCATCTAAAGATCGGTTTTCTGATCTTTTACAATCCTTCCCCCCTCCCCCTCCAACATGAATTATTCCATTTCTGAGGCAAATCATCATCAAATGCTATATCAAACGGCAGGCGTTTTGATAGTTATCATTAGCCATTTAGTTGACTTCAGGCTTCACAGAGAGGAAGGAACGTCAAAGTGAAAAAAATTCGAGAGGGGGGAGGACAGAAGAGTGTTTCAAAGATGTAAAAGAGACCGACACAAAGGAAGAAAAAAGGTGAGGTGGGTACTGTGAAAGTAGTCGAATATGACATACAGTGGGGTCATGGTAGTCTGAAGTCAGAAGTCGACTGCCAGTTTATAGACTTTTTTGCCGTATGTGTATGCGCTGCCCAGGGTGCTCCACGTGGAGGTAAGTCTATCGCATACCCCACATTATCAAATGTTCACTCAGGCTGTTGGAACATATTTCCCTCTCTGACAAACTCAGAAGATATCTAGCTTTATTCCTCTCCTGAAATTGTTAAAGAAGTTATCAGATAAAACTAGCGAAAGCTTCATTGGCTATGGTTTAACTAGCGCCCAACCGGCACAATGAAATCTTCGCGCACACATTCCAACTTGACCTCCAATAGAAAACGTTACGAATACAAGATAAATTTGCTTAACATTTGCTGTTTTTTCTCGTTCCAATTTTAGAATAAGTAATACTTATCGGAAGGGTGCTTTCTTGACAACTTAGAAGAAGGAAACATTCCATGCAAACCGTAATTTTATGTTGTCTGTCATCAGGATGTCGTCAACTCTCTCTCTCTTTTCCTCTCGCCACGCCACTACTATTTATCCAAATGTGATGTTTCGCATAAGCGTACTTTCAGAATAAAAAGAATGCTCTCCTGGCTTTATTATTTCTCTTCTTCTCGCCACCTTGATTAAAAATGGAAAAATTAAAGTAAGTTGGTGGGTGTAAATATGGAACCAGCCCCAATCACCTTCTAAACAAAATTCCTGCTGGAATTAAGTTTGAAAGTGAGTTGAAAGTCCAACGTACAAGCGACTCCCATTACCACTCTAAGGAAATATTCCAATGCTCTCCATAGTAAAATCATGTTCTAATACGATCAATAACTGGGCATTTTGAAAATATTTCGCGAAGTGATTCTTTATGCTTTCGTTCTTTCATTGTTCACTGACACATCTCTACCCTTATTCGTATGACATCATAAGTAGTATGGGGAACACAAATTTAGCATGCCAATGGTAGTGGCCTCTCGACCAATCAATGACCAAAGCAAAGCAACCAATGGACAATCAAAGCCATATGTAATTATCCGACCAATCAATAGCCAAAGTCACTACGTGGTTATCGTCTCAGAAAGTGTACATTATGACTAAGTTCACAGTCAGGCACCATAAAGACAGCTTAATAAGCGTATTCCACGCCATGAGTCTATTTCCTCTATCGCTTTGCAGTGGCTTAGCTAGTTCTCGGAACATTTCCAAATGTAGGTGATTCTGCCATAGAGGATACTGAATATAGCCAAGGCTGAATAGTGTGGCAATCCGCTACAATAGCTGACACTAATACAATATTGATCTTCCATTAAAGGAATTCAATGTGGCCTCCTGTGCATCAGTTGCTGTTTTTATAGGTTGCCCATCAAATAACACAGAACGTGGAATCATTCTACTCCTCATCCCACCCCCATAGCCCCTATACCGCAATTCGGATTACAATCGTGCTTTACTGATGTTATACCATTTCACTTTCGATTTCTAGTACATCTTACTTCACTTTTTCTCATTCCACTATGTTTGATCATCTCACCTCTTGATCTTCTTATTTGCAAAAGGATGCTGTATTTTTTCAATCTTTAGAAGGATCACCCTCTTTGAAGGGAAATTTCAAATCCTAACTTGGTAGTACATAGAAAGCAATCTTACCGTTGGAGTTAAAGAGTGGTGGTACCTGATAATGCGTATTCCGCAGTGATGCAGGTTAGACGGATGAGGTCATTAATCAACCTCCAATTACTCAATAACACTCCCTTGGAATGAATTCATTATATGTGGGCTCCAAAGGGTAAAATCCTACTTAGACATGATGTAGTTGGCATTCCTTTCTTCGCTTCATCACTAAAGGTCACGTATGCTTCTATTGACGGTTGCTATTGTCATATCAAGTTACGATGCAATCAAGCAAGTGAGTAGTCCAACCGAGTCATTATGTTTCCCAAACGAACCAAGTGGAGAGCCTCAACGTCGACATTTCATCCACGGTCGCAACAATCTTCGACTTGATCATCTATGACGCCAGAGGGACTAAGCAGACTCCTTAGAAATCTAAGTAATAAACCAGTCGTTTACCGACTACTTCAAAAAAACGATGAGATCGTTCAAACGACGGCTCAACTGTGAAACCCCCAAGAAGCTCGCCCTCACAAACACTTAGCAATTTTTCAACCATGAATCACACAACCCACCAACCAATCTACAAACTAAGATTGTATATCACTTAGTTTCAAAATGAACATATCGCAATTATTTTGATAGAAGGATCTTGACCGTAACGGGTCTATCAACTTGGGCGCGTACCCAAAAAGCAGATAAATCCGACCCGAAAGCAATAGAAACATCAACCCCCACAAATCAGACTATTCATGTGGTTTCAGGGAATTGGAACTCAACTATATCATTCAAATATCCTCGTTCATAGACAACAGGTTAACTTAAAGGCGAGTAATAAGAATAAATTTTGTCAAGGAGCCATTGGAACAGCGCACAAAATCCGGAACTCAATTCTTTTAAGTGCAAATCATGTTTGGTCTAATCTTTCGCATTAATAAAAGCTAAAAAGATTTCAATAAAATGTCAATATTCATGTAGCTGAAAACCCCGATAAGAAGAGGTGAAAGCGTAAGCAAAATAGTCTCAATAGGAACAGCTACAAGAATTTCATTATGGAATAAAAGACGCTATTTTTGGAAGACACCAAGCCGAGAGGAGGGGGTGGGGCGAAGATGAAAAATACCCAGAGAAATAGATTAACATTTCTGAAAGCTCAGCATAGCTTCCTTAAACTTCTTCTCATCTGCCCATAACTTCGCAGCCTCTCCGTTCAACGGACTTTTGTTATTAGGTTCTAAATTAAAAAATATACATTTCAATATACAAAAAAATGATTGATAAACAGCCGAAAAATCCGACCTACCATTTAGTAGACTTCTTATGGATAAAAGAATTGTTTTGACAGTATAGAGAGCCGACCATTCGGTTTTGAGGATATCCAAACAAATATTACCCTGGTGATCAACATTTGGATGGTAGCATCGAGACTCGAAGCGAACAATGGGAGGTTTGAAAGGGTATTCTGGGGGAAACTCTAATAACAACTTGTAGACCTGACCTTCGTATACCTGCACAGACGATCGAAAAAAGAATTGAATAAATTTATCTAAAATAACCTACGCTCGTATCAGGACCATGAATAGTCGCAGTCCATTTGAGTATATTATCATCCAATGGGAAACCGGAGATACCTTTTTCACCAGAAGTCTAAACTGATTATATTTGGAAATCGATCGGTACCATCAATTCCATTAATTCGGTTTGAAGCCTAAATGGATTAAATTAGATAACTTAAGACTTGCCTCTTAGCAACACTGTCGGCCATAATTTCAACAATTGTTCGAAGCTAATATACAAAAAAATCAAATTTAAAAAGGCCTTACACGCGAGCTGAAAACACTTCACTAAATTAACTTGTCGAGTTAGGCGCCAATATCGAGTGATAGTATATATCGTTATAAAATCTTTGGTCAATTTTAGTAGAAATATGAATTTAAGCCTAAATAACTGTTGATATACTTTTATTTAATTAATCGGAGCATTTTATTGCTTTTCTGATTTCAATATTGACTTCTTTTAAAAGTTAGTTCAAAATTTCGTAAAGTAAAATACAATACTCATCTACTGTCATAAAAAACCAAATTGAAATACATCTATAAGAAAATTTCTATGAAAAATAAAAGCTTAGTTGCACTGAATGTATATGATTTAGAAGATCAACAATTTACTCGGGTACCATTATATTTATTCTTTGAATGCTAGTGATTGTTTTTCTGACTTGATTCCTTTTCGTCAAGTCTTTGCTTTCTATTTAATGAATAGTGCAGTTGGTGATATGAAATTCAAGCGATGGCTCAGGCTCGCAGCTGTTCGTAATCGATTATAGTTTGTTCATTCCATTATCACTCTTCTCAGGATCTCTTTTATTATTATCGCCGAATGTCTATATTGCTAAATTGTTAACTGTCAAGTCTTGGATATGTAAGTACTGCTCCATAATCGATAAACTGCGAACACCTGTCTTCATGGAAATTGTGAATGGCGGAACAAATAAATCTCATACTCACTCGGGCAGACTCGATGATGTGGCCGTGCTACTTGTCATCTAGGGAGCAAGTACGTCGTGCGCACAGAAATCTATCAGTCGGACGTCAATCAATAATCCCTAAATTGGTTAACAAACCCTCATTGCACATACTGACTAACCTCACTGTTAGTAAAAGCACGTAATCTAAAAAGCGTGTTCCACACTGTACGTCTGTACGCCATAGAGATTACTGACCATAGGCCAAATCCTATTAGCCTAGCAATCTGCTACGTCATTGGTGACTATGAGGAGACTTACTAAGACTTACGTGATCTGCTCAGCCAAGACTCAATTTCTCCCTAGCACTGCGATTTATTAATATATCGCACCGCACACTTGGTGAGTCTCTTCCTCCTCTAGCAATAATTACCTGCTCGTCGACTCATTCCTTTCCTCCTTTCTCACTGTAACAGAATCTCTTCGGAAACAGTTTTCAGTGTGAATACATCGGGTGTCCCTCAAGGTTATCCCACATTCCTCCCAACACACCCTCATATCTGGTTCGTACAATTGGGAATCATCCTCAAACCAAGTGGTGCTACCAAGCAGAGAGTGATGTTTCAGCATTCTATCGTTGCTCTACCATTCAATGTCACTTCACTAGTCTTTGGCCTCTTCGATGATGCACCAGGAGACGACTGCTTTGACATAATCAAAAGAGCTGTTATCAATAGTCTATCTTTTTTTCGCAGGAGAAATGCCTTCAACAACTTATTTACGAGATCGTACTCCTTTTCAGCTCCTTCAACACTTGCTATCTCTTGCCCACGAAACTAATCTAGATGACTCAATTTTAAGACAATTATGGATAAAATATTATTATTATACCAAATGGCAGGCATCTTGATAGTTATCATTAGCCCTTTAATTGACTTCTGGCTTCACAGAGGGGAAGGAACATCAAAACGAAAAAAACCGAGAGGGGAAGGGAACAGAAAAGTGTTCCAAAGATGTAAAAGAGACCGACATAAAGGTAGAAAAAAGGTGAGGTGAGTACCGTAAAAGGATTAGAATATGACATACAGTGGGGTCATGGTAGTTTGAAGTCAGAAGTCAGTTGCCGGTTAATAGACTTTTTGCCGTATGAGTATACGTTGCCCAGGGTGCACCACGTGGAGGTAAGTCCCCTGGATAAAATATCTTCCGGTAAATAAGGCATCATGTCTTGCTATCGGAACTTGAAGTTCAAATCTCGAAGAATTAGCTGAGATGGCCGACGAGGTTCAAGAACTTTATGTTCAGCCACGTGCCCATGCAAGTGAAACTTCAATTCCCATTCCCGCCTCACCACAGCAATCTTACTTTCTAACAAAAATTATGGGAAAGATGGATTCCATTGTGTCAAACTCCTCTGATTCTTATTAGGGCAGCTTCGCTAAACGATGCCAAGAAATGTCAACCGGAATGCAAATACCCCAAGGTTGCTATTTCCAAAAGAAACCCCACCGGTTCTGAAGTTACTGTTACCCACCGTTCTGCTGAAAAATGTTTTATTCAGTCTGACCCTACACACGGTAGAACAACCATTTTGCAAAATTACACACACCTTTCAATTAGTGCCACCAAACTCCTCTCAGTCAGAAGCCATCAATATTCCCTGTATTATTTAACAACCCCCCCCCCCATTGTATATAGTGACTAGGCTCAACGTCTGTAAAAACGTGCTCTACACTGCTCGTCTGTTTCCACTATCGCGTTGCGGTGATCTTGCCATAGCGATTACTGAGCATAAGTCGGGACTTATTAGTGTAGCAATTCGCTGCGAACTTTGAGTAGTAATTCTGACGCTTGATTTCATGATAGTACGAAGGAGATCATTCAGTTTATGAGGTTGCCAATACCGAAAGCTCAAGCTCTTTTATTCGGATCCGAATTCAATTAACCTGGTGTCATTATCAGTATGTTTAAATTAGAGTTTCCCCTTCATTTGTAAGAGCGGCCAAGTTAATTGGATCTCCGCGATGTCTTGTCGGAATCTCGGCTCATTCTAAAAGTTTGCAACAGGTAGAATGCAAATAAATGCAGTTCTCAAAAGTTAAGGATGCTCACTTAACATGTTGGAAAAATTAAGACAATGCTCAAGATTAGGCTTGCGGAGTGACTACAATTGAATACAAAATAATACTAATCCCGTTAATAAAGCCATAGCTTGAGTTCTATTAAAGTGCAGTTAATTTCCCATCTCGTAAAACATGACCACTCTGAAATTTAACTATTGTCTTTCCAAAACGGGGAGGCCAGGCAAGAAGTGAGAACAAAGCACAGTGGAAACGAGGTCATAATAAAGGGCCAATTTAGGGCGGATCCAGGAGAAGTGACGACTTTGTGCTTTGATTGAATTGATGATCGACTCACTACAACTCATCATTGAGTCATCAAGACAGAGTTAGCCGTTCAATAGAGCGTCAGAATTCCCTAATTAGTAACTGAAAAATAACTTCAATTGATCATATTGTTAACCGTCAATTGAAATCAGTAGGATAGTACCCCCCCCCCCTCCCCCCGGTTATTGAAGCCTGCCCAATTGCGGTTTCTGTTGCATCCAAAATCGCAGATACTAACATTTATGTACAGCTTACAACATATCACTTGGGAATGTCAAATTTCTTTCCAAAATCTTCTTACTTTAAGGTAGCCACGTAATTGATATTCAACCACCACCCAAGTTAGGGAACTGAAATACAAGACAATGATCCATTTTTATAAAAAAATATTTACAAGGAATTAAAGAAAAAACGTTTAGGATGCATCAGAACGACGCCGAGACTGCTTCAACTCTTCGACGAAACTGCAAACATCTTGAACTAAAAACAAGCACAATAAATAGATAATTTATTTTTTACACAAAGCTTATCATAATAAATTGAAGTCAAATGTATGCACACACAATTCTGCAAAATAATTAGATAATTTTATTGTTTACACAAAGATTTATTATGCTTACTTGTGGAGTCACCAAAAAGCCTTTTTACTGCATTTCCAACCTCCGCAGAGGCGATATTCAAATCATTTTGAAGGATTTTAATGTTAGCTAATTCTTCATTTACGCGTTCTTCAGCAGATTTCAACTAATTAAAAATAACCAAAAAACTATAGCAACAGTTACCAAAAAAACTTGCTCCTCGTGTTTTTTAATCTTCGCCTTAATCCACTCGTGTTTTTTACTCGAGTACGTGGTTTGAGGCATATCTTCAGGAAGGACAGCATTGTCATCGATGTTAAAAACACTTGTTAACATGAAATTCTAAAAGGAAAGAAGCGGCAAATCCATACCTTACTTCGAACTCGTCAAAAAGTACGTTCATTTGGCCCTGAAGCTTAATTTTCAACATTTTTTTAAGGCTATCCGATTTATTTGCAGAAAGATATTCACCATACTAAACAATTATAGGCACTATACATGCATACTTTAGAATATATTTGATCAACAACATTGTCCACTAAGCTAGCCAAGTTATCTATAAAAATATTGAATACTACAAAGTTAGAAATAGAAAAAAATACTTTTATCTGACAGGTTCAAAGGCGCAAATTTAAGAGCTGCAGTAATGTATTCTTGGTAAGCTTCGATTGGAATTTCGATTTCTTCTTCTGAATCCGCAGACATCCTGCTAAGAACGCCTAACAATATTAAATGCGGCACACGAACAAAGCATATGTGAAAACCGTTATATTGACCTTTATTTGAATTTATAGAATCTATTTAATTGAACACCATGTTCAAATTATTTTGAAATCGAGAGTTCTTTTTATTTTAATTTCTTAAATTTACTTTCAACTCTCAGACAATGATTTTAATAATATATTCTCAGGTCGTTTGCGACTAAATTGTAATATTAGCCACATTATACATTTTCAATTTAAAACCATAAAAATATAAGGATTTCCATATTTTTTGTGAGATTTAGGCATAAACGTCCGTTGAACTAAATAGCATTGATGAATAAGAACATTTACTGAGTCATTTTGAAAAATTCCATGGTTTGCTAGCCAACATATTTGCAACGGTTTCCTAGACGAATAACATCTATATATTCAGAATTACTATTTAGACTTAGGTTTAACTCTTTAATGTATTATCCATTTTGCTAATAAATTTTACTGTGAAATAAATTTGATCGAAACCTTTTTTTTGGTGCATATGTTTAGAATGTTGGTAATCTTATAATTAAATTTGGAGGTACAATAGTATTGATTATTTAAAGTCATGAGATGATGCATTTTGGAATCTCAAGATAGTGCTTTTTATCGGACAGAGTAACCTAAAATGCGTAGAAAATTTTGAATTCGAAAATTATATGCATGAAATGTGAAAGCAGAAAATGATAGATATTTAGTAGAATATGTGCTGAAAGATCAGGAACTGTATCACGTAATTTTATAGTTGACTCCTCAATGTGTACAAAATAAAGCAGTTCTAAAAGTAGCATTAAATGTAAACAATAGACAACTATTTACCGAATATGTATGGTCTTTTTTGAAATAATAAGTTTTTTATTCTGGTATATGGAATTTCATTTTAATTTTTGAAACTGTAAATCTATTTTGTTTACTTCATAATGGGAACCAATTTCAAAATATGTGATAATTCATCGAATTCTCTTAATTTAGAAAATTTAGTCGTGACCTTCACAATGACCAATCAAGTGCTGTAAGGTAATATTGTGCCTCCAAAGAAAGCTGCCGAAAATAATGATGACCACTTCGTCTAGAGAACAAAGGTATGACCGTCAGCTACGACTTTGGGGTGATCGTGGGCAAGAAGTATTAGGCAAATCCAAAATTTGTCTCATTGGATCAAGTGCTATTGGCTCTGAGCTTCTTAAAAACTTAGTGCTGCCTGGAATCGGCGAATTCATTATTATTGACGATGCTATTGTAGAAAAAAAGGATCTGGGTAACAAGTAAGCATGCCAATTTTTTTCGAAAATCTTTCTCATAGTTTCTTTGTAACACCAGCTCATGTGGGGAAGGTATTTGAATTTTTAATAAACTTAATTATTTAGCCCAGAGCACAAGCAGTTGCAGAATGCGTCTCTGAATTGAATACTGATGTCAGGGGCGATTTTTTGATTGAAAATGTCGAAACTTTGCTTGAAAGTGATCCTAATTTCTTTCTTGAATTCTCAGCTATTATTTACACAAGTGTTCGCGAAGGGTAAATTCGATATTTAATCCAATAATAAAGTTCAAATAGTCCTCTCATTCACCTCAGTAGGATAGTTGCCCAATCAAATGTACCTATTATTACCTGTTATTCGGTTGGATTTGTTGGTTTCCTTCGAGTTTCTGTTTCTGAACATACAATAATCGAATCCCATCCCGACTCAACTAAACCTGACTTTCGACTAGATAATCCACCCAAAGCACTGATTAATTTAGTTAATCACCCAGAGAATGACTTTGACTCCCTTCCAGCCAATGAGCTATCCCAAGTTCCCTGGTTAATCATTGTTTATAAATACCTTTCAGTATTTCAAAAAAAATATGGCAGATTCCCTTCTTCATATTCAGATAAACTGGAGATTCGTGAATATATAAATGAAGGTTTGTTGGGAATAATAGTTTTTGAGCTGTTACTTCTCTTAGCTGCTAGGTGCTTATTGGATAATTGTCGTTCTCGCGGTGAAGAATTAGAGGCATCTTTTGAATTGCTTAACTTTTACGAGGCAGCAAAATCTGTTAACATAGCCTTAGCTGAAACGAAAGTAAGAACCATTTTTGGTGAGCTATTAATATTTTAGCTTCCACCAGAAGTTTGGGCTATATTTGAAGATGATCGATGTCTTTTGTCTGGATCCTCGCCTACAACTGATCTGAGTGATGACAGGCGTCAGTTCCCACTCTTTCGAAATCATCCGAGAAATAGTCCTACAGTAGTTAATTCTTCTATCTCAAATTTCTGGAATCTGGCTGCGGCGTTGAAAGAGTATACGTTAAATGAGGGAGGAGGTAATCTGCCCATTCGTGGTGACCTTCCCGACATGACTTCCAGCTCAGAGAGGTATCTCAAACTCCTGACGGTCTATAGAGAAGCGGCTGAAAATGCTGTCGAACAAATTGCCTCTCGATTGTCCAACGTGAGTACTCTTATGTCAATTTCAATTTTTTTGCAAATACATTTTATTTGAACTTTTTTCGTGTGCTTGAAATAGAAAGGTTTTTAAATTAATGCTCATGATTAAATAAAATTTACTCTGGAAACTATCTGGTTGATAGCTTTTACTCTACCTCTCAGCCGGTGAAAGTTTTGTATATTGCTCTCTATTTGATGAGAATATTATCGGTGCCTGAATCACTGCCCATCTGCAGTGCACACCCTTTGACTGGAAAGATTAATCGCACTGGTTAATTCTTACTAATGTTTATTTATATCAAATGACAGGCTTTATGATGGTTATCGTTTGCCCTCTAGTTGACTTCGGACTTCACAGAGGGGGGGGGGACATCAGAGTCACAAGGAGTGGAGAGGGAGAATAGAAGGTGAGGTGGGAACTGTGCAAGTGGTCGAATATGACATACAGTCGGGTCAAGGTAGTTCGAAGTCAACTGCCGGTTTTTTACTTTGTTGCCGTATGAGTATACGTTGGCCAGGATGCTTCTCGTGGAGGTAAGTCGATCGCGCACCCCAATGCTTACTAATATAGGAACTGGTAGAATTCGAGTCTCACCAGGGAAACAGGAGGGGTAGTAATATTTCCGGCCTCTACTCAAGATCTGCACAGAAAAGTGCTTTGCTAAGTGGGCATGGCAATCATTACTTACATACTATATTTTCTTGCTCCTAAAACTATCAGAACGTGTTTATGAAATGTACATCTGAGAAAAAATCCGCATGCCTATGTTGTTGTTCACTTGTGTAAAATCAGTATCCGTTAAATAACTTCCCAAAACATGTGATCCTAGGAAATTTGTTGGTACTTTATACAGGAGGCGGTAAGAACTAATTTATTTCCTTGAAGATGCGCAAATTTTATTACCTCCCTCTCCGTCTTACTAATGTAGACGCGATATTGCTATCTCCAAATCTCAATTTCAATTCGAAGCTTCTTTACCTACGGCTAATTAATTGCCTTATCTATCATGCTAACGCTGCAAATTTCTTTTCACAGCGTGACTGTAGTTTCCTATTGTCGCTCTTTACTTCCCTATTTTCAGTTTAAGGAATTGCCTCTGGAAGATATTCGCCTTTTCGGTAAGTGGGAGGTTTTTTTACTCTGTTAAAGCGTAATTCGATTGAATGTATTCATTTGTCTGTCGTGTTGTGTTGTGTTAGCTAAAAATGCTGCCTACATCCGAGTGATTAAATGCAAATCCCTGGAGGACGAGCTCAAACGGTCCCCGATGCGCGTTGAAGACCTGCGTAAGTCCTTCCTCCCCCCCCCCCCCCCCCACTTACCAATCAGAATTAACTTTCACGTCAATTGTTTTTATCCGTTATCACGTGAAATCAACGGCTTCTCTCGTAATCTTGCTCTTTGGTGCTTTGGCAGTGTGATTTACCTTCATCAGAGGGTTTTGACGCCCTTTAGGGAGCCATATTAACTAGTGATGTGCAATTATTTTTCTGAGTCGCAGTTCTTAATTGGAATGATTCTCTATTTTGGCTTTTCTGTGGTAATGATTTCAAGGTAAGATTGGATATTCCTTCCTCAAATTCAAGCTGATTGTAAGGCCACTCACTATAAGATTCCCTACGGTTGAAAATTGCACACCACTGCAATATTCTTTATAAACAAAAATGCGTCGATTTTACGCCTGCATATTCGAGCACCTGTTACGTCAATGTGAGTTTTTCGGTTCCCCTTTTTTGTTAACTGTTCCGTTTCACTAGGAAACACATCTGCACTCATATCCCTTCACACGGCTCCTTGTCCAAGTGGTTCATATAAAGTGTCGTCGTATTTCCATTCAAACGAACGCACAAGCCTACCACCTTTTTATTATTTGTTCTTCTCCATCCCACCTCTCACCCTCTCTCCTACCCCCCCCCCCCCCTCTAC